CTTTAATAGAGTTATTTTAATTATTATTTTAAGAAAAACCTTGATGATTTAATAAAGACTATTCGATTTTAGAATATTTATCGTTTATCTATGATTTTTAGTCTTATATATTAGCCATTATATTCCTTAAATTATTAACTTATATCCTTTATTCATTTAAATATTTTTTTTCTTTTAAATATCTTCTTATATTTAAACAAATTTCTTTATAAATAAATCATTTAAGTATTCGTAATTTAATATTTAACTTTATAATGACTTAATTTCTTAATCTAAGTCTTTTATATTCTTATTTATTATAGTGTCTTGTTAATATTATTATATTTTATTTTTTATTTAGGTTAGATTTATTGAAAAGCTTTAGTTTCTTAAAATTTTAGAGACTATTTTAAAAGAATTTACACAGTTATTTGAAAGATTGAATTAATAATTTTTTTCTTTTGAAAGTCTTTTTTTAGGAGATGGATTTGATAATTGTCTTTTTATTTTATTATATATTATTGAATTTATTATATTTTGGTTTATGTCATTTTATATTATTTTTGAATTATATTTCGTTTTTTCTTAATTATTTTCAAGTTTTTAACTTTAAATATTATTCTAGTTTATTTAATCTATTTTTGTTTATTTGTTATATTAAGATTTTAATTACTTGTTTTATATATATATATATATATACCTTCATCTTATAATATATGATTTATTAATTTTTAGGAAATATCAGGTTCATTTTATTGATTATCTTTAATTAAATGTTTTTGACTATATTTACTATTATTTTTTATTGTATTCTGAATTATTTCTTTATCATTTTTGAATAATTTATTTAATTCTTTTAAAATTATTTTTTTTTATAAAAAAATTATTATTATATACGAATTTCTTATGACCATAAATCTAAAGATTATAATATTTATTTATTTTCAAAATTTTCTTCATATTTTTCTAAATCTTTTTAATTACTTTAATTTATAGATAATGAGGACTTTTTTATAATTTAAGAAGGATTTTTTAAAAATAAACTTAAATTTTTTCTGAACTTATTTTAATTATTAGATACATTTTATTATTATTATTAATTTAAATGGAAAGAAACAAATTTTTTCATTCTTGACATTTCTAATATTTTATATATATAAATTATAATAAAAATTATTAATAAATAATAAAAAATTAATTAATCTATATGACTATAAATGTATACAAACAATAAATATATAATTTATATAAAAATATAAAATCAATTTTTTCGGAAAATAATTATTTAAACAGAAATGATATTAATATATTAATTAAATGATTAACTATAAACTACACGTATTAGTAAAGTAAATAATCCGATCATATAGTACTTATACAACAAGATAACAAAAAAATATTATATTTATTAAAATAAAAAAATATTATATAAATATAACAAACCTCAATATAATAAAAATTTAAATAAAATAATACTAGTATTTGGAACTTATAAAATCCGAAAAAAAAACTTATTATTTCAATCCCACATCTGTCCATACTCCTATAAGACTAGCCTTACATTTTAACACTTTTTACAGTACATAAACCAAAAAATAAACTACAGGCATCGAAGCTAACCATAAAAAGAAGTCTTTAAGCATTTAATTCTTAATCTCTTTAAATCAGTCAACCAGCTTTGAGCTAAATGGCATTTTTATAATAATATTTAATCTACCTTTTATATATATTTCTTTATTATTATATAGCCTTTAGGACATTGCCCTTGTTCTACGTATTAACTCAAGTCAGCGATTGAGTCGGAAACGGTGATAAGCACAAAAATTCAAAGTTTTGCAATATTGGAGCCTTTATAACAATTTTAGAAGTTTTAGAGGTTGAAAATTGGTACAATATTGAATTTCTTGCCACTTGATGTATTTTTATATTACAGGTATAATCTATTTAGGTTAAATTGATTTTAAAAAAATTATTTTCTGGTAAAAATTAAAAAGAATAGGGATTTTAAAATTCGAAAATATACCAAAATTACTCTGGATTTTGCAAAAGAACCTTGTCTAGATTATATAAAAGTACAAAGTTAATCAATTATAATGAAGTTTATGTAAATATAAGGTAAAATATTGTCTCTTATATACCTAAATTTATTTACCATTATTTAAATAGATACACTTCGACAAGTAAAAATAATAATTCCGTTTGGTTTTTTCTAGTTTATTTTAGGCAAAAGGGATTTTAAACACAGTAAAAGATAAAAAACATGATTATGCTTTTAAATAAAGAAAAAAAACAATATAAATTGTAAAAAAAGACACCTATTAATATTAATTATATATTCAACTCTCCAGAACTTATTATTTTACACAAAGTTGATTATATACAATATCTCAAAACTTAAAACACTTTTTCAGAATTAAAATTTTTTTTCTTATTAATTATTTAAAAATTTTTCTTAGAATTTTCATATTTTAATATATATAAATATTTATATTTATAAATATATATAATATAATATATCTTTATATATATTTATTTTTTAATAAAGATATTTTTATATTTTTAATATGTTTTTTTACTTAATATTTTTTTTAAATTTATAAAAAAAAATTTAAATTAATTATAACAAAATTTTATAATTTATTTATGTATATTTTATTATTTTTATTATGTAAAATATAAAATTTATAATTATAATTATTTTTTTTTTAATCATTTTTTTTTTTAATTTATATTTAGTTTTTTTTATTATTATTAATTAAAGAAATTAAATTATTATAATAAATATTAATAAATTTAAAAAAAAAATACGAAAAAAAATAAATAAAAAAGGTAATTTAATCATTTTTTTTTAAAAGCAATAAAAAAATATAAACATTATAAATTAAAATAAAAACTAAATAATTAAAATATTAATAAATGGATGAAATATTAATAGATAAAATAATAGAAATAAAAAATTCATAAAACGTAAATTAAATATGATATAAGCACATATTAAAAAATAAAATAAAAAGATTGAATATATATTAAGATTAAATACAAACACAAATGAAGAGCTAAGTATAGAAATCGAATAAAGAAGTACTTGTGATTAATGGAAAGGTTTATTTACAAGTTAAAAAATTGAAGACTTATCGCAAAAAACCGGAAACTGTAAAAAATTTAAAGTTTTTTTAAAAATGTTACTATCTGCAATATACTAAACATCTGAATCAGTATTCATAGATATCGTATCTATATAAAACCTAGAAATTTTAAACAAATTAAAACATGGAAACAATAATAATTAAAAAACTATAAACATATAAAATAGTAAAAAACTAGTTTTAGTATTATGTTATGAAGTGGAATATGATAAAGTTCGGTATCCATTAATATTAGATTATATAGAAAACCCAGAGCCTTATATTCTAAAAAACTCTATAAGAAGACTAATGCTAGAAAACGAGTAATTAAGATAAACTAGAACTAATTTACAAGACAAAAACACAATATAATATGAAAATAATTTACTAAGAAATAAACTATAAATAATAGAAGAACTTAAATAGGAAATCCAGTTTTTAAAATCAAGCAATATAGACTAATAAGAAGTCTAACAAAAACTAAAAGAAGGTGAAAAAGTGATGATTTCATAATAATAAAGCTTAATTTTATAAGAATAAAATATGTAAAAATAATAATAACAAATTTAATAATAATAATAAAAAATCGAACAAATGTAATCTGAAATGGTAAGCCTTTTATAAGAACTTGAATGTCATAAAATAAATGATAAAAAATAAAAATAAAGGATATCTTAATTAGAATAAGAATTAAAATAGTCTTTAAATAACAAAGGAAAGCTTATTTAAAAAAATAATACATTAATAAATAAGTAAATTCTTGTTAAAGAAACCTTAAGGACTTCTTCTCTTTTACAAAGACAATAAAGTTCAAATAGTTTAAAAAGTAGAAATTCAATTAATGATTCTGAAAAAAAAATTAGATCTTAAAAAAAACATAAAGTTTAATCAAATACACCTAAAAAATATATTAGTAGTAATAGTAGTACAATATTAAATTAAAAAAATAGAAAAAAAAGTGCGACTCCAAAAGCGTAAAATACGCCAACAAAGGTAATAAAAAAAATGTTTTATTCACTTAAAAACAAAATATTAGAAAATTACATTAGTTTCAAGCAGTAAAATTAAAGCAGATTCACCAAAAATAACAATTAGTAGTTAAAGAAATATAAGCAGTTCGAGAAATTTTAGTAGTTAAAGAAACAAATAAGAAATAAATAACAATAAAAAAAAAGAAAAAGTAATTTTAAAAATATTATATATATATATATATATATATATATATATATATATATATATATATATATATATATATATATATATATATATATATATGAATATGTATTTATAAATTAAGAATATAAATTCAAATTAAGACGAAGATTTCTTTTTAATGAAAAAATTGGAAGATTTAAGAAAATAAAATAAAGAAAATAATTAATCAATAAGTAATTTGAAAAAAAGTTTCAATAATTCTTTAAATTAGTCAAAAAATAAATAAAATTAAGATATTTCTTCTGTATGTGATAATACAATAGATATAGACGATAGATTATCTAAATTATAAGATTTACTAAGATTAGCAAAAAATTGAATATTAAATAAAAAATATGATAAATATAAAATATAAATATATATAATTATAAAAATATATTAATATATGTTTTATATTTATATATATTTTATAAATTTATATATAAATATTCTATGTATTTATAAATCATAAGATATATATAAAAATATTTATATTTTTATATATATATAATAAAATAATAATATTTTATCTTTTTAATTATATAACTACAAAACCTATTTTTATATATTTGTATAAATATTTATAATTTACATAATACTAATTTTTAAAAAAAAATATTTAATACTTTTAAGAAATTAATTTATTTTTTTCAAGAACAGACTATTGATTAAAAAAATTAAAAAAAATAAAATAAAAAAAATATGTCTGAAAATAACAATATAATTAAAATTCAAAATATTCCATCTTTAATAGCAGTTCATCCTTTAGTATTACTTTCAGTAGTAGATCACTATAATCGTGCCTTTAAACAGAATAAAAACCGTCGTGTTCTCGGTGTATTATTAGGTTAAAGATCCGGAGATAAGATTGATGTAACAAATTGTTACGCTATACCATTTGATGAAGATCCTAAATAATAAAATATATGGTTTGTAGACCATATATATCATGAGACAATGTTTTTAATGTTCAAAAAAGTAAATGCTCGTGAAAAATTTATCGGCTGGTATACTACAGGTTAAAATTATAAATAACATGACATTTAAATAAATGAGGTCTTTAAAAAATACACACCAAATCCAATTTTATTAATCGTAGATGTCCAAAATCAGGACAAATTAGCACTTCCAACTGAAGCCTATTGCTCTGTAGAAGAAGTTAGTAAACAAGGAGAAATTATTAAAAGATTCGTACATTTAGCATCTACTGTAGAGGCCTTTGAACCTGAAGAAATTGGTGTGGAACATCTTTTGAGAGAAATAAGAGATATATCAGTTAATTCATTAACTAATTAAGTAATTTATTTATTTATATATAAATATATATATATATATATATATATATTTTATATATTATATATTATATATATTAGGTAAATGATAAAATATAAGCTTTAAAAGGTATGATGGGAAAAATATTATAAATAAAAGATTATTTAGAAAAAGTCTTAAGTGGAAAAGCTGTCGTTAAAAACGAAATTATATTTAATATTTAATAAATTTTAAATTTATTACCTAATCTTAATGATGAGAAGATGATTAGAGCTTTTTCGGCTAAAAATAACGACATGGTGTTTGTTTTATATGTATGTTCTTTGACTAAATCTATTATTTCTTTACATAATTTGATTAATAATAAATTAGAAAATAAAGATTAAGAAAAAGAAAGTAAAAAATAAAATAAAGAAGATAATAAAGAAAAAGAAAATACAAAAGATAATGTAAAGGAAAATGCAAAAGATAATGCAAATAAATAAAAGTGAAAAAAATTAATATTTTTTTATTTTTTTTATTAATTATAGAACAAAAAATTATTTTAAAGAATAATTATTATCTTTTCTGTTCTTTCTATTTTTATAATTTTTTAAAATAAAAAAAAATTCTTTAAATAAAAAAAAAAAAAAAAATTATTTATATGTTAACCCTATAAATAAATAAATAAAAAAAAATATATATATATATATATATATATATATGTATACGTATATATATATACATATAAATAAAAATTTATTATTAAACAAACAAAAAATAACAACAATAAAAAAATAAAAAAAACATGCAAACTTCTGCTTAATAAATTCAATTAAAACATATTTTTGGCATAAGCTCTTCAACAATATAAATAAATGTTTAATTCCAAGATAACATTCATATAATATACTAAGCCGGCAACAACATAGTCCTTTACGATTTAACCGACAAATCTTAAAAATTCTACTAATCACTTCTAACATATAATCAAATAACTTGTTTTTCTATAAGCCCTTTAAAACGTTATTTAGCTCTAGGTGTATAATAAGAATCTCTAGGCCATACTGGTATATTAATATACGATACATTAACTTAGAAATTAATAAAGTAATTAAATAATACCGAATTAGATAACATAAATATTAAATAATGGACCAATATAGTCTTTCCAACGTAAGGATAGGAGAGAAAATACTTAATTTCGACCAGTGGAGGTGGGGGTGATGCAATTTTAAGTTGGTGGAACCACGATAAAATGTAATGTGTTCAGTACATAAACTTAGGAATTTAACAAGAAATATAATAAATAAAGACTTTCGATTAAAACGCGAATATTATTAGTCTTATTGGAAAAAACTACCTTTAATTATATGAGAAAAAGGAGACTTTTTTAGATAATTTTTAGTAGTATTCTTTAATTTTTTTAAAAGACTTAATTTAATTTCAAGATGAAATATAAGACAAAAATTTTCTTTTTCATTTTTACATTAAAAATTTCCTTATCTTAATTTGTGAAAATAGCCAAATTTATATTGCTAATTAAAACTTCGAAGATGAAAATTATTAAAAAAACATCAAATTTGAACTTTTAAATGATTCCCCATTATTCCTTTCTAAAAAAAAGTAAAATAAAATACTCTCATATGCCCAATTTAATTCAGGTTTTTTCTTAGCATGTTAAAACCTATAAATTTTTGAATATTAATTAAAATAAAATACTTTTAACTGTATAAATAAAATATCAGTAAATAAAATCATAGATAATAGTATAGAAGCAGAAATTTCATCCCTAGACATAAATCTCGAGCAATCTAAACTAATATTTGCACTTGACAATAAATAAATATACGAAATCCTAATTCAAAAAGGAGATAACATCCTCTTTTGTAAAAATAAACCTATTATAAATCTAATTATACATAATACACATTTCAGAAACATAAACGGAATCGATATTTGTTATAGAAAACCAATAATAGCAACATGTGGTTAAGATAAAACACTAAAAATATGGGATTACGAAAATAAAGTTCTTGATAATTTATATAATTTTAATGAAGAGCCTCTTAGTGTTGCATTGAATCCATAAGGAATATACGTAATAGATATAAATAATTATAAAAATTTATATATATATAATTTTATATTATTTTTATATATACATATAGATTTATATTTATATATATTTATATTTTCTATATATAGGCAGTTGTAAGTTTTACTGATAAATTAAAATTAATAAATCTTAATATAAATACTTAAAATTCAAAAAATAATTCTTTTAAGGAAATTTCTCCTTTTAAAAGTTGCAGATTAATCCAATTTTCTAATGGTGGTTAATATTTTGCCGCTGTGAACATTTTTTCACAAAATCATATAATTTAAATATTTAATTTCTATACAGGAGAAGGTCCTGTAAATAAAAAAATAAAAAAAATAAATAAAAAAAAATATATATAAAGCCTCATCTAACCCTCAAAGGACATACAGGTAGAGTGAAATCTATTGCCTGGTCATCCGATGATACAAAAATAGCCTCTTGTGGATTAGATGGGATGATATATGCCTGGAATCTAGACAAAGATGCCTATTATTTACTCAATGGAGTTCCCAAATTAATTGAAATTCACTACAAAGGAGTTAATTTTTATTCTATTTCTATCACAAACGACAATAAGCAAATAATCGCGTGCGGAAGTGACAAGAAAATTCATTTAATATAAATGAATTAAAATTTAATTATAGAGAAAGTGGAGAAAAAAGACGTTGGAATAAACATAAATTCCCTAAAATTTACAAATACTAACAAGTTGCTTTTTGCGGGAATCTCTGATGAAAATTAATTTTCTGGAATACTAAGAATATTTTCCTTTCCACTTTCTAGAGGTAATTATAATGATTATAATGCACACGATATTAAAGGAGTAGAAAATATTTTAATTACAAAAGATGATAAATATATAATTTCATAAGGAAAAGATTCATGTATTATGCTTTTTGAGGTCAAAGATTAAAATGCTAAAGAACTTAAATATAGGGATTGTTACCATAATTTTTCGGAAGATATATTAGTAAATAAATGTGATTTGGATGAACTAAAAACAACTAAAGATTAGCTAATTCTTTAACTTTAAGAGATTAAAAATTAAAGCTTTTAAGCATCTTTTGCATCTAAAGATGATCATATTATACATTTAGAGTAGCATATTTAATAAGAATAGATTTAAATGAAAAATAATATAGATTAATAGTAGGGTTAAGTTAAAAATTTAGATGCTTAATATGCTAATGAGATTAATTTATTATAAGAAAATATGGAAAATGATATTTAAAATATAGATAATGACTTTTAAAAAGTATTTTTATTTTTTATATTTAAAAATTTTTAAATTAGTAAATTATGACATTAGTTGAATAATATGAACATTAAAAAAGACTTTTAGAAATCGAAATAAGCTAAAATTAAAAGCACAAAGAAAAATTAATTTAATAAAACAATATAAAAATATAAGAATTATAAGATAATTATTTAAAAAAAATTGAAGAATAAAAGTATAAATTAATATATACATATATTTATATATATAAAAATTATATATAAATATATAAAATAAATATATTTATATAAATATATTTATATATATATCAAAAAATATAAAAAAGAATATAAAAAGAAATAGTCGAAAAAGAAATATAAAAATTAGAAAAAGAATAAAAAGAAGTATTGGATTAAATAATTTACGAAAAAGATAGTGAAATAGAAAACTTATCTGAAAAAAACAAAAAAGACGAGAATATATTAACTGAATAATCATTAAAAGTAAAAAGTGAAATATCAATAACAAAAAAGAAAATAATGTAACAACAAGATGAATGCCAAGAATTAAAAGATCAAAAATCTGAATATGAGAAATAAAAAGAAAAACTAAAAAACTTAAATGCCGAATTAAAGGATAAAATAGATATATAGAGAAAGCTATTATTCGAAAGAGACAATATAATAAGCGATAAGGAAAAAAACATATTAAAATTAAAAAAAAAAGTATAAGATTTAGAAAAGTTTAAATTTGTTCTTGATTATAAAATTAAAGATTTAAAAAAAGACATTATGCCAAGATAATAAGAAATAGAATTAATGAAAGTCGAAATATTAAATATGGATGAAAAGTTAAAATCTTTAAATAAATATAATAATTATTTAGGGACAGTAGTAGATGAATTATATACAACATAAGAGGCCATGAAAGTTGAAATTTAATATTAAAGGTAAATAAATAGAAAAAAAAAAAAATCAAATATAATATATATATAAAAATAAATATATATATATTCATATATATATATATATATTCATATATATATATATATATATATATTCATATTATATATTTACTAAATATTATTTTTTTTAAAAATAAAATAAGAAATATTATATATAAATAAGAGACGAAAATTTCGAGATTTAAAGATGATGTATACAGAGTAACTTAGAATATTTTAAATAAATATGAATTAGAAAATGAAATAGAAAATATGTACAAAAAATATATAAAAGTAGAGGCTAAAAAAAATGTTATTGAAGATAACATAGTCAAAGAATATAAATACTAAAAATAGAATTTATAAAATTTAATTTCAATGTTTAAAAAAAGTCTCGAAAAAGATAAATAAATAAACAAAGAGGATAAAATAAGATAAATGACTAATAACGTTTAATTAATTAAAGAAATTAATTAACTTAGAAAAAATATTAAAGAATTATAAAAATAAAATATAGTAAATTCTTCAGAAAATAGTACTCCGTAACCTAAGACTAAAAAAAAAAACGATTCTTTACCATAAATTAGTTAATCAGTAACAAAATTAAACGATCCAACTCAAATTATTAAAAACGAAATATTTTAATAAAGAATATAATATTATAAAACTTTACAATAAGAAGTTCTCGAATTAAAAAAAGTAGAAGAATCCGTTTAAATAGAAAGATAAAATATAATGAACTAATGAAAAGTTAATATATAAATATAAATTTAGATATAATAATAGTTTATATTTATTTTTTTAAATAATTTATAAAACTTTTATATTATATAATTATTATTAGATAAAAGTTTAATATATTTTTAATATTTTCATTTTTATTATCATTATTTATTTTTCTATATTCATATGTTTTATTATTTTATAATTAAATTAGAATTTACTTATTATATTTTTTCATTAGTTAAATTTAAAATATATAAATCTTAAGAAACTTCAATTTTTTATTTTAAATATTATCTAATATTTTTATAAAAACATATAAACTACATTCTTGTAATAAAACTACTTATTAAGTATTAATTCGATATTTATAATTATTTATTTAATCTTTAAATATATATAAATATATGTATAATATATATATATATATATATATATATATATATATATATCTGTTTTTATATTTACTTTGATATATTAATATTGACTTAAATCAAAATAGGATCTAATTCTAAAACTATTTTTTATAAATAATTAGCAAACATATAATATCCTTATTAAGAAATAGATAACCATCCACTAAGATTTAGATTAAAAACTAAAATCTTTTTTAAAGATTTAAATAATCCAATAATTCCATCACAAATTTCTTATAATCCAATATCTGTACATTTACTCCAACTTAATATACATTTTTTTTTTTTTTTTAAGAATATATATAATGATTATATTTTTTACCCATATAGATTTAAATCTATATTTTCTAAAGATTTATTATATAGACACATACTTAACATTAATTTCTATACTTCTTCACATGTTTAATCATTGCATTTACCCCAACTTTAAATAAAATTAATTTCTTTTATTTATTTTTTTTAAAAAAAAGATTACTTCCATAAACTAAGCTTAAATTATTTGAGTTTTTGATTATTTTTCAAAACTATTTAAATGTTTTTTAGAATTTATTCTGCTCCTATTTCTGTACATAATTTTAAACTAATGTTATATATAAAATAAACGAAATACATATATTTTTTTTTATAATTTACATTACCCTTCTAATTATAAATTGAGATCCAATAAATCTATATCTATGTTTTTTAATAATGTGATTGATTATACTAATTAAATTGCACTAAAATCTGTTATTAAATTCCAACTGAAAAAACAAATATTTTATAAATTATAATAAAAAAAAAAAATATATTTGCTTTTTTTTTTTCATACTTGCTAATATTAATAGTAAAATTTGAAAATTAATTTCCTTATTAAAATATTTATTTAAATATTTTGGAAAGATAAATAATTGAATAATCTGTACAAGTTTACCAACTTAACAAAAAAAAATATATATTTATATATATAATAACTATAGATAATTAAAATATTTATAATACATAATATAATGTTAATAATAATTAAAATTAAAAAAAATAGATATATACCTTTTAAAATTCAATTCTAAATGCTAAAGTGTTTTTTAGGGTCCTATTTCAGCAATATTATCAAAAAAATTTATTATTACTTCATCATTAACTTAAATTTATCTAATATTACTTTATTATTATATATATATTCTAGTTAATATATTATTATATAATACTTTGTTTCTAATTCTGGAAAATTTAAAGTTAAACCTTTTATATAAAGGCATTTTGAATGAATAAATTTAGATACTATAGTACATGTTTTAACATCTTATTTATTGCTTTAATTAAAAAAATAAAAAATATTTTGTTTATTTAAAAAATTATTACTAAATATTTTCAAAAACTATATATTTATTATCAAAAAAACCAATTTTTTTACAAGAATCTTGTAGTATATTTCTTTAAAAATTTCTATATATAATTTTATTATGTTAATAATTTAAATTATTTAAAGATTATTCATTATTAATAATTATTTAGTTAATATAAGATAATTGTTCTTACATTTTAATAAATTTAATATTATTGATTTTAATGAATATAAAAAATAATAATTAATAAAAATTAATTATTAAAATAGTTATTATTAAAATAATAATTTTTTTAATATATATATATTTATATATATATATATATATATATATATTTATAAAATTTATATTAATTTTACTTTTAATTACAATATAGAATAATTTATATATTTTATTTATTTGGAATTTTTCAATTTTTATATGATATTTTATTATAATTTTTTTATATATTTAATAATCTCTCTTAATTAATATATATTTTTTTAAATTTTTCAATTAATTAACTTTTATTTATTTTATAAAAAGTAGTTTTACAAATATTCTACGTTTTGTCTTCTTAAGCTATTTTTTATTTTTATTTTTTGCAAAAAAAACATGTTTTTATTATAAATTCTCCACTAAATATTGACATTAACTTTATTCAAATTTAATCTAAAAATTTCCAAATTACGAGTTTTATACTTTATATCCTTAAGATTTATTAATCAAATTTTTATTAATTGATCTTTCATTATTACTATCTTAAAGTAAAGAAGAATAATATTCATTCTTCTAACTATTATCAAAAGTAGTAATTTAACATTTATTATACTATTCTTTTTCACTATTAATCTTATTTTTTCTAAATGTATAATTTTCTCTAACTTCTTTTATAATAGGTAGAAAAGGACTTTTTAAATAAACAGGCTTAAGTTGATTTTTTTAAGAAAAGACTAAACTTTTAAATCTTTGATTTTTTTCTTATAAATACTAAGATAAACTATCCTAATTATTGTTTCTGTTTGAATTTATAATCGATAATTAATTAAATTCTGTATCTAATTAATATTCTTAACTTATTGTAGTTTATTTATCATTTTTATTACTATTAAAAATTCCATCTATTTTTTAATTTTTCTCATTAAATCTATTTTCAAAAAAATCATTTATTTGGTTTTTTTAAATAGTATTTTGATTTTCATTTAAATTATTATTTTTATCTTCGTTTCCTTTATATACATATTTCATATAATATTCATTATAATTTGACAGTCTTTAAGTTTTTAATATTGGTTTATTTTCATAAGTATTACTACACTCTTTTTTTATTAAAAAACTATTTTATCTGGATAATCTTTATTTTATATTAATTTATTTAAATCTTTCTTTTTAAAAATTAATGTTTTATAGAATTCTTTTTTATTCCATTAAATTATCTTCAGGGTCTATATAAAAATATACATATCATAATAAAAAAAAATAAAACCTGAATCTGTATCATATTCTATAATAGTGTCCAAATTTTTAATAATTTCAAGTTGTTTGTCTTAAATCCCATTTTCTATATTATAGGTTTCCATTTCTTCAATAGAAAAATAATCTTTCCAATAAAAAGATCTCATATTTAAAAAAAGACAAGCAATTTAATTTTTATATTCAAGAATTTTTTATTCAAAACTAAATTTATTTTCACCGAAAATTTTCATTTTATTTAATATACTTCCACTTTTATCTCTAAAAGACTTATTTCTAATCTCTTCCTATTATGTATTAATTTATAAATTAGAAGATTGTTTCTATTACAATTCAATTAAATTATTAGTTTCTTTATTAGCATTACTATTCCTACTTTCAAAATTAAGAATCGAATTTTCATATGAATCTTCATATATACAAGAACTACTATTATTCAAACTTTCCAAAGTTTATTATTTGTAAACTATTTTCTTTACCCTTTTAAAATTTTTTCCTAATTTTACTACTTTTTATTTACCTAATTAATTACTTAAACATCTTTAATTAATTAAAAAATCATTTAAATTAACATCTTATTATAATATATAATTATTCTTTAAATACAAAAACCCATTATTAGAATTAGCATCATCAACCATAATACTATGCATTAAACAAAATTTTAGCAAATTTTCACATATCTCTTTACCTATGTTTAAAAAATCTTAAACTTCGAATTCAATAAAATTTTAATTTTAATTATTATTATTATTATTATTATTATTATTATTATTATTATTATTATTATTATTATTATTATTATTTTTATTATTATTATTATTTTTATTTTTATTATTATTATTATCATTATTATCATTATTATTATTATTATCATTATTATCATTATTATCATTATTATCATTATTATCATTATTATCATTATTATCATTATTATCATTATTATCATTATTATCATTATTATCATTATTATCATTATTATCATTATTATCATTATTATCATTATTATCATTATTATCATTATTATCATTATTATCATCATTATCATTATTATTATTTTTATCAATATTAATATTATTATAATTATTATCATTTTTATAATTATTTTCATTAATATTATTATCATTATTATTTTATTTATTTTCATTATTATCATTATTTTAATTATTTTCATTATTTTCATTAATATTATTATTTTCTTTATTTTTATTATTATCATTATTATTATTATTATCATTATTATAAGTATTATCATTATTATTATCATTATTATAATTATTATTATTATTATCATTATTATTATTATCATTATCATCATTTTTATCATTATTTTAATTATTATCATTATTATCGTTATTTTAATTATTATCATTATTATCGTTATTATCATTTTTATAATTTTTATTATTATTTTCATTAATTTCATTATTATTATTATTATTATTATTATAATTATTATCATTATTATCATAATTATAATTGTTTTAATTATTATCAATATTATCGTTATTATCATTTTTATAATTATTTTTTTTATCTTAAAAAAAGAATTATTTTAATATCCACAACCGCTAATATTAAAATTTAATGAAAACTATGCTTTAAATTCTTTATAAAAAACTTCTTTTGCACTTCCGCTATTTTATTTATTTTTAATCTAACATTATTTTTATTCGAAATATTTCATAGATTCTCCTAAAATTTTCATAAAAAGCCTATTTGATACCCAATTTACATTAGAATTCTAATTATTTTATTCACAAGCTGAAATAAAGCAATTTTTTTTAGTATAAGTAGCATGAAAGTCAATAAACATAAAAACGCCTCCTTTAATCTTTTCAATATATTTTTTTAAATAATAAACTTCACAATCATTTTTTTCATCCCATATTCTATTTAAATCTACTCCTTAAATATTAGTTCGAGAATTCCCGACTATTACTCCATCTGGATTGGCCATCGGACATATTGTAAAAACGAAAATTTCGCGAAGTTTTTTTGCCTTTTCATTATCTGATAACAAGAAATCAATCAAGCCTTAAACTACATATGAAGAAGGACTTTCTGAGGGATGTTACCTTCCCATAATTATTATATTTTTCCTTTTTTTTCTAGATGTAATTATACTTGTTGAATCTTCTTGTAAATCGGAAGAACTAGTTATTTATAAAATAAAAATCGATAAACCTAACCTAGAACCTCCTATAATTTCCCTTTTATATGAAATATTATCTGTTGTTATTTAAAAAGAGCGTGTTTTTAATTTAAATTCAAATTTCGAGTTTTTCACAAATTTTAATTCTTATTCTTTTTTTTCTAAATATAAAATTAGATCTGTAAAAGTATAAGGAATATGATAAGAAAAAAGAACTCTTTCTCCTAAGAAATTTAATGTATATGAAAATTATATTTAATGGAAAAAATTTTCATTTTAATTCTATTCGTTATTACGTGTATATTCTGACTTTTAAAAATCGATTTTTTGTTAAAATTTCGACCATTATATATTGTTTTATTTATCGAATTTTCCTATATAAAACTTCATTTTATTTGTAAAAAATACATTTTTTTTTCGAAAATTCATTATTGTTATTTATATTGTGTTTTTTTATTTATTTTAATTTATAATTCCGAAATAAAACCATTAAGTAAATCCTTTTTTTTTTTATTTTTTTTTAATTAAAATATAATAATAAAAAAAGAAAAACCTAAACTATTAGTATCTGATTTAAGTAATACTTTTGCAGTTTATTGCTAATTATTATATATGATTGAAGAAAAATTAGCCCCTTCGAAATCTCCATAGAATTTTACTTTTTAATCTTAAAATTATTCTTACTAAATAAATAATTTAACAAAATTTAAAATATAATTTTATTACAAATAATTCTTCTATTAATTTTGGTATTTTATTTCTATAAAATTATAATATATCATAAAATCCTATTCCAATACTTCTAAAAATAATAAACAAAGCGAAATCTCTTTGTTTAATTAAATTATTAATTTATGTAAAATTTTTAAAAACATAATCTTATTCTCTTTATTCATTTTCTATTATATAACTATAATCATGATAGTATATTGTATGAGGTTCTTATATTTTATTTTTTCCATAAATGATTAGTTTAAGTATTTTTCCACAAATTTTACATCTCATAACCTGATCTTATTCACATATATGATCATAAGGTAGTCCCTTTATTAAAGTAAAAATTGTTTTATTTATAGTTTTTTTTATTATTATTATTATTATTTTGTACATTACTTAACTGTAAATATACATTAAATTTTTTATTCTGCCTTTAAAATAAAATAAATCATCTTAATTTAAATTTTCATTGCTTTATTTTATTGAATTAAATTTCCATTATAATGACTATTCTTTAGTATGTTTTCCTTTTTCTATTATATCTAGAGGTGCACCTAAACTGTCCCATAATTATTGTAAATTCATATTTATTTTATTATTTTAAATATAAAAAAAACGATATTATTTATATTAATAAAAAATTTATTACATAATAACTGAAAATATATAAATTTGTTAAATAAAAATTAATTAAAACAAAAAAATTAAAATAAAATATATTTTTTGAATATTGAAAATAAGTAAAAATTGTTCAAATGTTAATAAAATAATTAAGTAAAATATTAATTATATATTATAATAAAATAAAATAAATTTTTTTATTTATTTAGTTTAATAATAATTAGTTAAATATAAATTATTTATCTTAATATATATATATATAAACATAATAATAATAAATAATAATTTTTTTATATAAAGTTTAGTAGATATTAATATTTTATAATAGATAAATATTAATCAAATAAAAAATAAGATTATATTTAAAATATAATATATATATATATATATATATAATCTAATTATATTAATATTATTAATAATTCCAATTTATAAATATAAATTAAAAGTATTATTTTTATTTTCAATTTTAATAATGTTTATCTATTTAGCTTAAATACAGTTCTAATTTTTTTTCTATTACTTAATTATATTAATATAAATTCATTTATTAATATATTTATGTATAATCATATTCTTCTTATTTCAAAAATAGTTATAAAACATCACAAAGATGTTTAAATATTTGAAATTAAACCATATCATTATTTATTAATTTTACTTATTATTTTTTACAAGTATTCATTTATTACTATAAATTCATAATATAATCGGTGCTTTAGTTATATAACAAGAGTTCAAATCCTTTTTATAATTCTTCATTTTAAAATTCATATAATATTTCTTAGCTAAATAAATAATTTTATTCTACAAAACAATCTTTGACTTATTAATAGTAGTATTATACAAATTCTAAGTCTTAATTTACTTAACTTTTTAAATTTTAAAAATATTATTATTATATTAATTGTTCAAAGTTTTAGAAATTAAATATATTCAAATTATTTTAGAATTAAATTTATATTTATTTTATTTATATATAAAGTTTTTTTAAGATTAAAAATATGAACAAATTTAATTATATGTCGGTCTAAGGTAATTTAAAAGATTAATCAACAATATTAATAAGTTTATAGTATTCCTTTTTTCAAATATTAAAAAATAAGATATATGAATAAAAAATTACATTTCTCTAATCAATATAAATATTTATATACTCTTCAAATTATAAAGTTAATTATTATTATTTAATAATACTTTAACAAACTTAATTAAATTAATCATTGCTAATTTATTTAAAATTAATTTAAAAATTATTAATATCTTAAGTTGTATCTATTTAAAAATCAATTAAATTATTATTATTATTATTATTATTATTATTATTATTATTATTATTATTGATATTAGATTTTTATATTTAAGTTATTTCATTAATATAGCTTTTCATGTTATTCTGCATGTCAATATTTTATTATAAATCACTCAAATATAATTTTTTTATATTAGTAAATACGGAATGCTTATATATATCTTCCCATTTAATTCTACATTTTGGATCTGGATCCATCATTTTTATTAATAAATCCTTCATTTATTCTGAAATATGAATATTTTTTTTATATAATTTTAATGGTAATTTATTTATATTTTAATGTAATTCCTAACAATTATTTCCTTAATAAGGATATTCTTAAAAAAGAACAAAATAAAATACGACTCCTAAACTATAATAATATAAATAAAATTATATTAAAAATATAATACCTATAAACATCAACTTCAAAACTATAATCACATGATTAAGATTATAATAGTTCAGGTGCCATAGTAATATAAGTTCCACACTTTGTTCTAGTCAAATTATTTTTATCTTCTAATATTTTCGAAAGCCCGAAGTCTGCGATTTTCCATATTTTTTCTTTAACAAAAATATTTCCAGGTTTTAAACTTTTTTATTTGATATATTTTAATCATTAAAAAAAAAAAAATACTCTCTATGTATTAAATTAAGTAAATGTATGCTTTTAAAGCCGTTTAATAATTATTTAAAATGTGAAATCGCGTTATCTTCATTTATTGGTCCATATTTATTTATATAATCTTCTAAATCTCCATTTTCACAATACTCCATTATTAAATAACAAGTATTTTTGTCTTCAAAATAATCAATAAATTTAACCACGTTTTCATTAAATATATTTTTTAAGGCTCTAATTTCATCTTAATAATATTATCTTAGTTTTTTATCTTTAAATAAACGTTATTTATCTGTTTATTTGATTGCAATATATTAATTTTTTTTAATATCTAAAGCCGAATATACTGTTCCAAAAGAACCTCTACCTATTTCTTATTTAATCAAATATTATTCGTTTAATAATATTTATTCTATGTTTTATTGTTTGTTTTTTTCTTCAATATGCAGTTGTTATTTTTACTCTTCATTATTAGTATTTGAATTTGAAGTGCAATATATAAAAGAATATTATTAGTCTAATAAATTATCGAGATTTTATTTATTTTCCATTTTCGTTATTTTTTATTTATTTTTTTATAGATTTATATATATAAATATTTATAAATATTATTTTTGATTCATATATTTATTTTGAGTATTTTTTTTTTGTTTAGAAAAGTAAAAACTTTTATTATATATTAATAAATATAAATAAATATATATATAAATATATATATATATTATAATGAATATTTTTATTTTAAATATAAACAATCTTTATTGTATATTATTTTTAGAAGTATATTTTTTATTACTATAAATAAAAATTTTATAAATACTATATAAACAGGAATAAAATAACTCTTATATTTTTTTTCAATAAATAAATATTTATTAAGAATATCTAATTTTATTCATAATATATTTATAAATATTTATAAATTAAAATGAAATTTAGAATAAACATAAATAAATGGGTAAGTAAATATAATAAAAATATAATCTAAATTGTATATCAATATATTTTTTAAATTTCTTACTATAGTCTTAATAATATTATTAGAAATTTATTAATAAATAAAATATACTTATGGTATTTTAATAAAAATTATAAATAAATTATATTTTTTATTATAATAAAAAATTAAACATAGAAAAAAATTATATGTATATTTATATAAATCCACAAATTTTAATTAATATATTGGGTAAAAAAAGAAAAACTAATAATAAGATAAATATTTAATTATTAATAGTTTTTATTAGAAACATAAAAATATAAATATAATTAATAACAAAATATAAAAAATACAATTGAAAATAATAATATTTAAAATAATTTATATATAAAAAAATATATTTTTCTATTTCTTATTTATTTAATTCCCTTTTATCAAATAAAATAAAATAAAAAAATATATTTTCCCAACAAAATATTAAAAACCTTATAAAAAAAAAAAACAATGAATTAAATAAATGTAAATGAAGAATTTGCTTTAAACCATTTAAAAATATTTATTAAATCTTATTAAACTCTTGATATAAAAAACATAAAAATATAAAGAATGACCGGAATAACAAATATGACATTCCGTTTTTCTCATTTCCAGCCAGAAATAGAGCCCAAAGATGTAATATTTAGAGTTTTCGGTAAAACATGTGAAGGAACTTTTATTGATAGAAATGATGAAACCTAAGTTTATATAGAAGTTTCCAAGCAAGGTCTTGGACCAGAACTTTACGGTTATGACGAATAAGTGAGAGCAGAGAAATTTTTATATTCCACAGTACTAAATTCAAGTGATATGAATACAAAATTATATAGAAGAAAAGTAGGTGAATTGCTCTCAAGATTTCATTAAATAAAAATAGAAAATATTCATACTCAACCTTTATTTGATTAAGTATATAAAAACCATAATATTATGTAAGCAGTACTTTAAAAAATAAACAAAAAACATCTTTTTACAGAAGAAGAAAATTAAATTATTGAAAAAATAAAAGAAGTATGGTTTTCTGAAGATGAAAAAAACTATATGATTTAATAATTAGAAAAACATAAAAATAGTATCGTTTTTTCTCATAATGATTTATTGGCTAATAATATACTTATTTTAGATTCTGATTAATCCATTTAATTTATTGATTTTGAATATTGTCATTATAATCTAAGAACTTATGATATAAGTAATTATTTTAATGAATCAAGATATAATTACAATAATCCTAATCCTCCATTTTACTTTGTAGATAATTCAGAAATTAAATAATAGGATTTCGAAGATTTAATTCGAACTTATGTATTGTGTTAATATTTAAAATAAAAAGGAATTTAATATGATATTAATAAATTGGTTGATGATGAATATTATAATTAATTGATATAATAAGTTGATAATTAAAAATTATAAAAAGAAGTTAAATAAATGGTTGAAGTTGAAATTCCTTTAACTAATTGTTTAGCGCATTTTTATTGGGGTATTTGGTCTTTGTATATGAGTAAAGATCCTAATATTGATTTCGATTATATTGATTTTGCAAATGAAAGATTTCAAAAATATATTGAATCTAGAAAAAATATATGATTTAGAATTTATTTGTATATTCTTGTTATTTTATTATTTTGTTTTTTCTTATTATTTTTTAATATTTAAATTATTGTATTTATGCAGGTAGGTAGGTAATATTACGAATATTTAAAATACCAAAATTAAATGAATACTCTCAAATATTATAAAAAATCATTAATAAAAAAGGATAATTATTATATAAAATATTTAATTATATATATATATATATATATATATAATATAGAAATTTATAAATAAAAAAAAATTAATATTATTATTTAGTATAAAATAAATATATATAATATATTATAATATATTTCTTAATAATTTTTATAACAATTTATAAATATATAAATTTTTTATATAATTGATTAAATATTAATTATTTTATATAATTTTATAGTCTTATATATTATTTATTTTTATGAGTTTATTACACAATTATTTTTGCATTTTTATTATATAGTTTATTTTTAAATACTCATTTTAAAAAAATTAATTTAAATATAGGCTATATTATATATATTTTATTTTATTAATTTAACTATAGATTTATTTTTTAGTTTTAATTTATATAAATACTATAATTATATTACAGATTAATTAAAATAAATTAATTATAATAAAAAATTATAAAATAATATTAATATTTAAAATTTAATTTTAATAATAAAATATAAGCTAAAGTTTTTGTTACAAAACATTTTATTTTTTATAAAAAAACATTCTATATATAAAAAAAGTTGAACTATATAGAATTAGCAACTAAAGAAGAAATATTATATGTCATTTTATAAAATATATAACCTAAATATGTAATTTTTAGAATTCTAAGTAATAATTTTAAAATATTAGAAATTTTACTTTATAGTTTCTGCCCAGAAATATATAGTTTTGATTAATTTGGTGAAAGCAGAATAATTTTCACATTCATAATTATTATTTACTTAGCTTTTTGCACCTATAAAATATTTTAAAAGAAAAGTAACAGAGGCAATTTCTTGGTTTAATTAAATAAAAATTAATAATATTTATACTGAGTAAAAATAATAATTTAAATTTTGAAAAATTAAAGATTAGTAAAAATATGTTTAATTTATAATTATTAATATTAATATATAATAAAGTTTATATGTTAAACTATATATTAATATTATTGTAATTATTTATGATAAAATCTATTTATAACTTAACTTTATAATTATAAATTATTGATATATTATATTAAACAAATTTTAAATAGATTTAAAGTAATTTTATTTTTTAGTTATTAAGATAATATGAAATATAAATTTAATAAATTTTAATATAAAATTGATATAATTAAAGTTTATATAAAATTTTTTGATATTAACAATAATTAATATATATATATATATATATATATATATATATATATATATTTTTAGATATATCTTTATTTTATTAAAATTTTCTAATATTAATAAAATCTTTTTAATTTTAATATAAATTAAAATAACATTTTATTAAGAAATAATTAAATAATTTTTTATTTTAAAATAAAAAAAATGAGATTAAAATTGCATTTATTAAACTATCAAATATCAGAAAAATAAAATTTTATTTTATAGATACCATAATACATAACTTTTTTTTCTGATCTGAATTAATATTTATAATAATATTTTAATATTGAAAATAATTTTAAATTTTATTTAAATAATTTCTTAATTTGTAATAAAGAACCAATTATTCCATTTGTTAATAATGAATATACAATCGAGTTATTTATTTATTTTTTTAAAAAAAAGCCTAATTATTTATAAAATAAAAAAAGTGTAAAAATTTTAGAAGAAAATTTGAAATAATAAAATAATGTTTTTAATAAGGAATTAATTTAAAAATTAGATCCGAAAATAAATAATGATAATGTTATATTTTAAAATTTCATTGATGATTTGAAAATTATAAAATAAAAAATGCAAAAATAAGAGATATAAGAATAATCCATTTTAGAAAAAAAATAAGAACATTTATAAAAATAATAAATTATTTAAAATACACCAAAAAATTTTAAAAACTTTTAATAAAATAACATTTAACCAAATAAAAAAAATGATCAAGAAATTATAACTAATTAAAAATAATATAAACCAACAACAGATATTAATTTTAATGATAAAAAAGAATTAAAAAATAATCTGAAATAATAATAAAAATTAAGTTAATAAAATGAAAACTAGATTATTAAAGGTCCAATAGCAGAATATAAACTAAATTTCAAAACAAAAGTATACATTAATATAAATTAATTTAACAAAATAAACTTATTTATAAAAATATACATTTTATAGACAGCTGAAGAAATATATAATGAAAAATAACCTTTATGGAAAGAAATTTCAGGTTATCCATTAGAAAAGAAATCCAAAAATAATACAAATAAAGAAACAGATAGTTTTAAAAAGATTTAATAAATAGATAAAATAAAATAATTAAATTCACTTAACGAAAAAAACATCCTTTAATAAATATAAAAAATATAAATTTAAAGCCTTTTTATGAATTAATTAAATAAATGAATTAAAAATATAAATTAAACAAAAAAAATATTTTAAATAAAATTTATTTTTCATTTGTATTATTATTATTATTTTAGTTTTTTTTTTTAGAAAAAATAAAATAAAAAATTATATAAGAAGATATTTTAAATAAACTTTTTTTTTTTTCATTATTTTAATGTCAAATATAAAAGCTATTTTTATTCAATACATAATTTTTAATATTTTTATTTGAAAAGTCTATAATAAATATCAAAATAATTTTTAAATTATTCTGAAGTTAATTTTATTTAAATTTATGGTTAAGTAGGAGCATTTTACATATAAGATGCTATTTATAATATATATGTTCCAAAAGGTAAATGATCTTTTACTGTAAATTATTTAAAATTTCTTTTTTTTTAATATTTTAGTTCAAAATCTTCTTATTTAATTATTTTTTTTAATTCTTCTGCATTTGTTCTCAACATTAATCTTATTTTTTTTTTTGAAAAATAAATATATATATGTTTATTATAAAATAAACTTTGTTCTTTCTAAATTAATTTAAGCCTTATTCTATATACAAAATTATTATAATTAGTTTTTATATTCTTTCCATTAAATTTTAAACTTTTTTTCTAATTTATTTAAATAACTTTCTTTTATTTTTATTTTTTTTTTTAAATTAAAATTCTTTTAATCGATTTTTTATTACTTAAAACTTCATACTTTAAATGTAATTCAATATTTTCTATCTATTATTATATTTATTCATCTATAATTTGATTATTTTCATAATTTATTATATATTAACTTTACAAAGTAATATATTCTTCTAAATTTAGTAAAATTTATAAAAAATTTAATTTTAATATAGTTTATATAATATTAACTATGTAAAGTAAAAGGTAAAATAGTGCCTTAAAGTTAAATCATAGTTTATTATTATTATTCAAATTAGAATTATTTAATTTTTTTCTATATAATTTAATTTTCAATTCCTGTATTTATATTATTCTTCTTGATTTTTTTTTTTTTTTAAACAAAAAAAAATAACTAAATATTTTACTTTAAAACCTATTTTTATTTTATAAGGAATAAAAGAAGGTATCAATGATAATTTTATTATTTTTTCTAAATTTTTATTTTTAAGGCATTCTTTTAATTATTTTTATTTATAAACATGTAGACTTTCATTTTAAAAGTAATTATGATTCTATTTATTTATATTGAATAAAATACTATATTTAAAATAAAAAATATACATAGTATCTAAGAAAAGAATTTTCTACATTTTTTGCTTATATTAATAAAAAAGAATCCCATTAAATAGCAATTTAATTTATTTATATCATTTATAATTTCATAAAATAATTAAAGAATTTCTACAAACTATTTTTTTGTTTAAAAAAATAAATAAATAAAAGATAAATATACTTTATAATAATATGTCTTATTCTAATTAAACGAGACATAATTTTAGTTTTAATTTATTAATTAATTAAATAGGCAACTATTTTCTTAGCCGCTAGTCTTTTGACAAATTTTTAAACATATAATTTCAACTAATAAAATTAATAAGAAGGTAAATTATTAAGTTTCTTGTTTAATTAATATTTTCTATAATAATTTTATATACATCTTGATTTTAAATTAAAAATGAAATTTTTTTTTTTAATTTCTAGCACAATCTAGTTTTAATTTTTAAAAAACGAAAAAAATTAATCTAAACTAAAAAGAATTATAATTTATTTTTATTTATTTTAAAATTCTTATTTCATATATAACACTTTCTTTTATTATTCTTAATAATAAATATTTTTTTTCTCTATTTTCTCAATATTAAAACTTCTTTTTTCCAAAAAATTCTTTTCGCGTATTTTTAAAGAATTTTACATTTTATTATTTCTCTAAAAATTTTAAAAATACATTTTTTACTATTAAAATTTTTTATAGTTTTCTGTAGTATTCATAGCATTAAATAAAGAAAAATACCTATAATTTTATCCTATAAAAGATTTTTATTATAAATCATTTTCAAAGTTTTTTTAAGTTAAATTAATAAGTTTTTTAGCAGATTCTTAAGCTTCTTTACATTCCTGTATTAATTCTTTTGCCGGCTTTAAATTATTTTCAAAAAGAGAGACTTTTTTTTTAACCTATAAAGGTGTTTTTTGGAAATACTTCTTTTCATTTTTTATATATTCGCTTGTATTTCTTTTTTTATTGAATTTTTACACTTATTTTTTCTCCTCTTAGGGGTTCGAAAGTAAATATAAAAAATGTTTACTTTCCATACTTCGTCTTACCATTTCTATATATTCAAATTTTTTTACTTCATTTAGATTTTCAACTGTATTTCCTTTCTGTTTAATATAATAAGAGTTTTTTATATATTTTTATTTTTAAATATTTTTAAGATGTTCATCAAAAACTTCTTCGTTTTTATTTAGTTTGGTTTATTCTGGGAATATAGGCATATATAAAGGATCTGTTTTTTCTCTTTCCAATATTTTTTCACAGCATTCGTCATAAATTATTTAAGGTTATTCATTATCATCTATTTGGATGAATTTAATTTAATTTTTTTCATTATAAAAGTTAAATAATCGTTTAATATCTTTAAAATTTTATGTTTTTTCTAAATTTAATTTTTCTTTATCTTATTTTTTTATTTATTAAATATTATTTTTTAATTCTTCTGCCTTTTTTTTTATTTATTTAAAATAAAATAATAATATTTGTTAATTTTTACATCTTTTGAAGTACTTAATATTTTTATTTTAGAACGAATATTTTTTATATTTTATTTCTTAAATTTTTCTATCAAATCAATTTTCAAATCTTTACTTTTTTAGTCCATTAAAGCTACTGTAAATCTATCTCCACAAGCTACATCTATACAAGCTTTGTTTGATAACTTTTATACTAATTAAGGTTCAAATAAATCTTCTTAGTTTAAATGACCTAAACACATTTCAGAATTATCTCCCCATGTATATAAATAACCAAATTAATCAATCGCAGCATTATGTGCATCACCACAAACTACCTTTTAATATTAAATTTCATATAAAATAAAAATTTTATTTTTTTTAAAAAATACTTTTACAAACTTTACAAATTTATGTGGACTTTTTTAAGCATTAAGTTTTCGAGGAATTATTGCTTTATTTTTAATATAAAAATATATTTTTTTTGTTATAATTACAATTTATTAAAGTGTTTGATTTTTATAAATCTAAATTAGATGAATATTCACCTTTACCCCAACAATATATATCACCCTTTATAAAAGAAAAATGTAAATAAAAAAATAAAATAAATATTTTTAAAAGTATATTTTTTTTATATTTTTAAAGTTATGAACAATTATAATAAAAAATGCTTTAATAAAATTTATTAAAGTGAAATAATATATATAAATATATAAATATATATATATATATATATTTATATATATTTATATATATATATTTTTATTATTATATACTTCATTAGAAATTGCACATGAATATTTTTTCCCACAACTTGCACTTACTATATTTTTATCATTTAATGCCTCAATTTATTTAGGCTAATACTCAATTTAATTAAAATTATAACCATTTTAAATTGTATGTCCTAACTATCCATTTAATCCTTGTCCCCAAGAATAAATTTTCCCCTAAGAATCCCAAGCTAAACTATGGAATTCATTAGTTGAAATTCCTATAATTTTTATTTTCTTTTTTTTTATTATTATAATAATAATTAGTATAACTTCTATTTTTACTGAATTTAATAAAAATTTACATTAAAAAAAGTTATTTTTTGAGGTATATAATAATATTATTAATCTTATACTTATCCAATGCCTAATTAACCATATTCATTCTTTCCAAATGAATACAATTTATCATTTATATAAATTAGAGAATTATTGTGTCCTGCTAATATTAAAATTTATTCTTTTTATTATTATTCATTTATAGTTGTTGATTAATTAATTTAATTTGTAATCTATGGAAAATTATATTGACTTTTTCTTGTTTATTAATATAAATTTATAGACTTTTTAGAATTATTGGCTTTCGCATTTTCTTATTTAAATTTATCTAAATCTATTAGTTTTGGTTTTAAAACAATCTTTTCAGTATTTTCTAACATTTTTCCATATTCATTTTCGCCCCAAGTATATATTTTATTACTTTCCGTTATTGCAAAACAATGATTTTTACTAATTGAAAAATCTATAACTTTTTCTTTTAATATATCTTTCAATTTATAAGCCGTTTTGGTATTATTTATTATACAATCTGTACCTAGTTATCCTTTAGAACCACAACCATAAGACCATAAAATTCCTCTATCTAATTTAAATGAAATTATTAATTTTTTAATAATTTTAAAACAAGTTACCATCTAATATATATATTGTTTATAATCCTGAATATACTTTAATATATTTTCTTAAGGATTTTTTATTTTATTTTTAAACTAAAGATTAAGATAAAGATTATTATTAATAAAAAATATTTCCTTTATAATTTGTTAATTAGATTTTATAGAATTCTTTTATTTTTATGAAAGTTAAAATTTTATTTTTTTAATGTATAAAAAATAATGAATTTTTTAATCTATTTTTTTTTATATATTTTAAAACTATAAATTTTCTTCTTGTATGTATATACTTTCTAATGGTTTAAATTGCTAGTTTCCAAAATAAAGTACTTTTATTAAATAAAAATAATATTATATTTAAAATAAAAAATATAGTTAATTTTTTAATTAAAATGAAAAACAATACCTTCTTAGCTCATATTTCAAATATATATATATATAAATAAATATATATAATGCTTTTATTTATTTTATTAACTTCTTTTCTTTTATTTTATTTAAATAAAATAAAAAAGTGTATTAATAAAAATTAATCTTATATATTAAATTTTTAAAAAATATAATTTATAAATAAATAAAACATAATATATATATATATATATATATATATATATATATTTAATTTATTAATAAAAAAAAAACATTATCTTCTTTTTATAAACATTAACATATATCTTTAATTTACGATTATTAAATTTAATATTTTTTGACCTATTAAATTTTCTAAAAACAAATAAGATTTTTATTCCTCAAATAAATTTTTAAAATGCCAATTTATGTATTATTAATAATAAATGATTATAATTTATCTTAATATTGTATTGCTTTATATAAAATAACTTTTCCAACATGATTTTCAGGATATGTAATCATATAAGCATATATATATATATGATTAATAAGCATTATGTTTTACATATTTTTTACTTCATAATTTTAAACTTATTTTTTTGAAAATTAAATAATTACTTTTTTCTTTTTTTTTTTTTTCTTAAACTACTAACCTCTATCTATTTTTTGCAAATTTCAAAATCTGTCAAACAATAAATACATAATCCTAAAGTTAAATCCTTATATAAATTATTAGCAAAAGTATTAATTATATATATATGTTTCCCTACTCCCAAATTTTACAGCTTCATATAGATATTATTGCTATCTCCATTTTTACACACGAGGCAATTAATATTATATTTTTTCGCTATTTTCCCATTTATTTTATTAATATAAAATATTTTCGTAAGTTTTGCAATATTACATTATTTATAATTTTTAATATTTGTATTTTATAAAAAATCCTATAAAAATATTAATTTATGAAGGCATGTAATAAAGTTACTTTGGTAATGTTTACATCAATAAAATATTTATCCCGCAAAGGCATCAAGCTCATACTTAAGTCAAAAGAAAAACCTAATAATCTTCACAGGGAGTAGTGCAGGTTTTAGACTTTCTAATGCATTCTAAACAATAGGTACTGTAAATTTTACATATTCCGTGCTACATTTTTTAGTATCATTTATCACATTATATACATAGGTCTTTGAAGTGCATTTAATAGACCCTTCTATACCTTCAGAGCTCACTTTATCATTTATAATTGCTTTAAAAGCACATAGAGGACACTTTTAACTTATAAAATTGAAATCAATTAGGCATAATAGATACTTTAAATTAACTTTTAAGAAATATTCATACAGACATATGACACTTTAAATAAATTAAATGAAATAAAATTTATAATTTTACTATTATTATCAAAAATCCAAACCTATCCTTTAAAAAAAAAAAAAAAAGTTCATAAAAGTAAAATATTTATTTTACTATTTAATTTTAAATCATTTATTTAGTCAGTAAATATAAAGTATCCAATAATTAATTTCTTATAATAATAATTCTCTTATAAGCTACAATTTCATAAGACTTTCTTATTGGAATTACTAATCTACCAATCTAAGTAATAATAGGGACAACTTTGAAAGTTAAAATATTGTAAAAAACCCGATTACTCGTTCTAAAGTTAAAAATGGTCGAAAAATAATAATTATTCATATCAAAAGTTTAATTTATTACAGTAATTAGTTTAGTCCTTGAATATTTAAAACTATTTAAATGAATTGCATTTTTATTGAATTTTCGTTATTATTTAATAAAGCTTCATTTAATTTTATCATAATAAAGCCTCATGTATATATGGTTAAATATAAATATCATATACATGTCCATTATATATGAACTTATGTTTTTTAAATTAATCTATTTAATAAAAAGGATTTATTTTTGTTTGTTATATATGTTGAGAAGTAATGAAAACAATAATATATTATATTTTTTCTAGAAGAATTATTTTACTTTTAATTATATAAAGCATTCATTTAATTAAAATAACTAAAAAAAAAAAAAATTAAAATTTATAATATAAATAATTTATAATTAAAAAGTATTTTTTTATTTTTAATTATAATAATAATAATTTGAGTAAGTAAAGAAAAAAAAAAAAAAAAAAAAATTAATTATTGAAAAAAATAAAAAAAAAAAAATTACCATTTATTTTTTATTTGAAAATTATTAATTTATCTGTATATGATTTATGTTCATTCGTAACTTATTAATTTTATTAATTTTATTATTTTTAATTTTTTACGTTAATTATATTTAATAAACTAAAAATTATGAGTTATAAAAATCTTGATTATAAATCATTTTCTCCTTCCTAAACAATAATGTAAATAAATCCAAAATAATTATATATGACTCCTTAATCAAATTAAATAAAAAATAGTGATTTTTATCAAAATTAATGTAATAAATTATTATATAAAAAAACAAAAAATTATACTAATAAATATTTAAAAAAGATAATTATTAAAATTAAAATACATATTAAAATGATATTAGATATAACTCTTGTAGTTATTTAACTGAAGAAAAAAATATAAATTATGATTAAAATGAAGATAAAGAAATGCTTTCTGAAATGAAATCTATAAGAATTTTTTTAAATACAAAATTAGACAAATAGATTTTATTAGGAAAGTAACCAATCAATATTTATAATTAATTAGATGATATATAAGATAACTAAATAGTTTAAAATCTTAAAAAAAATATAAATTAATTAAAAATGGAGTATTATAATATTAATAGAGATTTATAAGAAACATAATAAAGAAGAAAAGAATTAGAAAGAGTTTTTTAATACGAACAAGAATAAAAAATGTAAAATTAGAAAAACATATATTAAAATAATTAAAATTTTCATTAAAATAACTAAAGTTTTAATTAAAGTAACTAATATTTTCATTAAAGCAATTAATATTTTCATTAAAATAACATAAATTTTCATTAAAATAATAGTAATTATAATTAAAATAATTAAAATTAATAACAATAAAATTAAAATTAATATTAATTCCCTTAAAATAATGAATATTACATAAATAGAAAATTTATATCAAAAGAAGAAAATAAGAGATATAATAATAATAAAACATCACCAAGAAAGCAATTATTATAAAATTAAAATGAATAGGAAAAATAGAATGAATAAAAAAAAAAAATTGAGAAAATAGAAAATGGTTAAAATATAAAAAATAAAAGCTAATAAAAAAATTAATAATAAGAAAATATAAATGATACTCAAAAAAATGAATATAATTAAAATAAGCAAGAATAATTGAAATTAAACAATGAAAAAAATATAAAAAGTGAAAATAATGATTAAAAAGTAAAAAATATTTAAAATAATATTAATAATAATAATTTTAATAATAATAATAATAATAATAATAATAATGATAATTTTTATTAATAAAATATAAATAATTAATAAATTTCTTTTTAAATTTAAAGTAATTAATTATAACCTTAGTAAATTAATTTATAATTTCCCAAATAAAATAATCATAATTTTTAATAAGAAAATTCAGATAACTATATATATAATAATATATCTAATAATACTTAATTCTTCTTCTAAAATAATTCTAATTTGAACTAATAAATTAATTAGAATAATCAAAATTAAAATTTTTCTAATTAAAATTAATAGGTATAAATTAATATTATTAAATATGATTTTCATAAAATATATATACAAAATAGATTAAAAGCTAACTTTAAATGTTAAAACAGTAATTTTTGTAGGACAAAATATAAATAGATAAAAATTTAAAATAAAAATGTTTATCTTAAACTCCTTAATAATAGAACTCAGAATAGACTGAATAAAAATAAATACAATAATAATTTCCTTAAGTTAATTTGAATAATTCTATTAACTCTATTGTGCCTTCTAATCCAAACTATAAATTTAACTAATAATATTAATAATAATAGCTATCTAACTAAAACTCAAACATTAATAATTTAAATAAATGTAATTAAGATCTACCTTTTCACCCTCGCTAAAATAACTTTAATAATTAATAAAATTTTTCTTAATATTACGAATCTCAAAATTAATATTATAATTAGAATTAAAATTTTAGAAATTTTAATTAATAAAGAATTGTTTAAAATAATAACAACCTAAGAAACAGTTTTAGTGAATTTAATAATAACAATAGTTAAAGCCCTAATTAAAATATAATGAGCTAAAGCGCAAATTTTTATCCAAATTAAAATCAAATTAATTAAAAAAACTAGAATTATACATTTCAAAATAACTAATAAAGTAATTAAAATTATAATAATTAAATTTAATAATATTCTAATAATCAAAATATTCCTTATTAAAATTATTAAAATAATTAAAATAGTTTTCCGTATCAACAATATAAATGTAATAATCAACAATAATATCCCAGTAATTATTTCAATTTATATATACTTAAATTATTATTATTATTTTTAAATAAAAAGATAATAATTAGTTTTATTAATAAAATTAAAATAATATTAATCAGAATATATTATATAATAATGATTTTTAATATTATAATTAGTTTTATGACAATTAAGAAATTCCTTTATAAAGAATTTTGAAAGATTTAAAATAAAGAGAAGATTAGTTTTTTTAAAAATAAATTAATATTGACTAAAAAATAAAAAAATCAGAAAAAGAATTAGACAATTATATTGAAGATAAGAAATCTAATAAAAAATATTTTTAAAAGGTTAAAAAAAAAAATATTAATTATCCGTTTTCAAATATATTAAAAAAATAAGGCTAAGTACTCTTAAAATTAGTCTGAATTAATATAATAATAATATTAAGTATAATAATTAGAATGTGAAATAATTGAACTTTAACAAGAATATGTATTTAATGAATAATAATTTTAAAATTAAATATAAAAAATAATAAATCCTTAATAAATATAAACAATTAGTTTTGAAAATTTTCATAGATAGAATAAAATATCGGAAAAGATATAACAAAAACAAAATATTTTATAATAAATATAAAATGAGGAAGATGTAAAATATATTATATATTTATATTTTAAAATAAATTAGATAAACGAGGAATATATTGATAAGAATATTTATGTACTAGGTTCGAGTAAATATAATTATATATTATTTTATTTTAAAAAAAAATTAAAATAAAAAATAGAAAATTATGAAAATAATTAAAAGTGTGTATTTTAACCATTTTAAAGTTATTGAAAAAATTATTAGTTGAATATATATATATATATATAAATATATATATATATAAATTTATATTTTTGAAGTAAATAAAAAATATTAATAATTATTTTTTAAATATTAAGATTTTTTTTATTTATTTAATATAAATATACTTATTAATTATTTTAGAAAAAAATAAATAATTTTAGTTTTATTTCGTATTATCCAAATATATTTAATTTTGGTAATAAAAATATATTATTAAGAAATTTTATAATAAACACAATAAATAAATATATTTATTTTTAAAATTATCAAAAAAAACATTAAAATAAATAATA